GCTGGGACTTTGTCTAAAAGTGTCCCGCGTGCGGAACCGAGGATTCTCCGTCTTCGAATATTGTGAGTGGGGTGCCTCCAAGCGATCTTGACGGTAGCGGTGAGGAACTTTTGCTTCCGTCTCCGGACAGGATACGCGGAGAGAGCGGTGATGAGGATGTTGGGGGAGACCTCACCTTTGTCACGCTCCCCTCGACGACTTCGGAGGACGAGGCCGAGGACAAGGATCCGACGTGGAAAGTCCACGATAAAAGGATCCTCTCGGGCAGGAAACAATATTCTCCCAAGAAATGTGCGGCAGACTTCGCAGGTAAGAGTGGTGCGCGCGGTAGGGGTCGCCCGAAGACTTCGGGCGACTACGCTGGACTCGCGGAAGCCAAAGAACGGCTTAATGAGACGACGCGCAAGGAGCTCCAACTTGCGGACTTGCGGAGGGTGCTGGACCATCTTTGGGCCCAGTGCTCACCGCGGTCGGGCGGGAGAATGCGCCTCCGGATGAGGCGTACAGGGCGGAGCTCAGGGGTAAGACTGCCCCTGAGCTTAAAAAGCTCGCGTCTTCACTGCCCAAGTGGAGAGGTTGGCCGGGGTCCATGGCATTGAAGATTTCTTTGCCAGGGAGCTCCGGACTTCCTCGATGAAGCTGGACGGTGTGCTCGAGGAGTTTGCTGTGAGGGCCTCAACGGATGCTGACCCTGGAATGGATGCGCTCCGTAGCGCAAACCAGGGATTGAGGTTGCGGATCTCGGCTCTCGAAAGACAGCTGGAGAGCACAAGGGAGGAGCTGGCTTTCCTTCGGGCTGTTTTGCCTGAAGTGGAGGCTCGCTACTTCCCAAGTTCTGGGAAGAAGAGGAAGAGGAGGCGGCGGGACCGTCCTTCTCCGGATCAGGCAGACGGAATCCCAGCATTTGTTGCTGAGCAGCAGTGGGACGACTGTCCGGTCACGGTGGCGGCGGTGTCGTCCCTTATTGATCGTCGTATCAACGACTTAAGGGGTGACATCGCCTCAATTGTAATGGCCTCTCTGAGGTCGGAGCTTGCGGGGCGGGCTGGGCCTGCTCCCTTTGGAGCGGTTTCCATGCGTGCGCCTGCACAGCGTGGCAGTGGTGATGTGGCTGCATCGGTGCGGTTTCCCGCTTCTGGGGGCTCTGCTGCCTCCGCTTTTGCGGAGATTTCGGCGGATGTCCCTGGGCGCGGGGCTGCTACTAGTGGTGATGGGCGTCGGCGCCGTCGTGGTCGTCGCTCGGGGCCTGCCCCTGGTGGTGCTGCGGTGAGCGTCTCAGCTCGGGGAGTGAAGAAGAGGCGGTTCACTCCCTCTCTCCCCTCGTCGTTAGTGGTTTCACTGACGGTCGGCACGGTGGAAGAGGGGAGCGTGAGAGGACATATGCCTCAGTCCTTCGCGAGGCGAAGCGGAGGGTGGATCTGCCCAAACTGGGCATAAAGTCGATGCGTCTCCGACGGGGGGCGACAGGCAGCATCCTGTTGTCCATTCAGGGAAAGGACTCCCCCAGGCTGGCGGACGATTTGGCGTCAAAGCTCCGGGAGGTGGACTTCTCCGCTAAAGTCGGAGTAAAGGTGGGTCGTCCATCCCACACAGAGGAAATTAGGCTGAGAGGGCTGATGGCCCTCATCCAGAAGAAAGACATTCTTTCAGAGGTGGTGTCGGCGACTGGATGCAACGCGGGAGAAGTTAGGATGGAGGACATTCGATTGTTCCCTAACTCTGACGTCGGGACAATGTGGCTTTGCTGTCCGGCCGGGGCTGCGCGCAAATTAATTAAGGCCGGGAGCATCACGTCGGGCGAGGGGTGGTGGGGGCTGACGGTTACGTCACTTGCCCGCCGCCCTTTGCAGTGTTTCAGGTGCCTTGCGTTTGGCCACACGGCCAATAGGTGCGGGGCTGGGGTTGATCGCAGCGGTTGTTGCTACCGCTGCGGTCAGAAAGGGCATTTGGCAGCCAAATGTGTGGCGCCGCCTTTCTGCTTGGCGTGCGAGGGGGCTGGCAAGCCCTCACAGCACAGAGCCGGCTCTGGCGCCTGCGCAAAAAGGATTGTTCCTCCCAAGAGATTGTGGGGGATCGGGGAGCGTTCCTCTCCCCCAGGTCATTAGCTCCCCGGGAGGCCCTCTCATGTGGGTGGGTCTCCGGTGGCGATGCATGTTTCGGAGGGCGAGGGATCGCCTAGCGGCGACCCCGCGGTCCCTTGACCTCCTCAATGTCTACTCGTTAGTTACGTTTACTGTGGTTATGGGAGCTGCGGCCTGCACTCGTCCTTTTTTGCGGGAAGCAAGCAGGTCCGGTTACGCTCTCCGTCTTAGTCTTTTGTCCTCGTATATTGTGGATTATGGGAGCTGCGGCCTACAATTGTCTCCTTAACCGAAAACTGATAAGTACGGTTACGCTCTCTGTCTGTAGTCTTTACCGTTGTGACTAGTCAACCTTGTTGTCCTTCGTTATGGGTAAACTATCATCTTCTCACCCATTCAATGTGGCTTCAGCCTCTGCGCTCTACATGTGAGCCCTTTGTGGGCTGGGCTTGAGGCCCCTACTTAGTTGGTCACGTTTGTGGATGTGTACATGTTTGTGCATCGTGTTTCAGTTTTGTGATGTTCTTGTGACGTCTCAGTTTTGTGATGTCCATGTGACGTCTTGTTGTTTATTGTCGGGCGGTTTTCACCGCTTCCGTCGGGGACGGCACGAGTGAGGAGTGAGGGCTCCAATCTCATTGCACGTTGTTCCTGGGACGAAGAGAGGGAGTTCGGAACCCGGCTCCCTCTTGCTGCCCTCTCCCAAATAAGGAGAGTGTCCCTCTTGTTATCCGCCACCTTGTCGTGGTGAGAGGGCTCACCCTTCGCAAGAGGATAGTCTTGCGAGGGGTGCTAAGAGCGGATCGTACCCTTCGGGGTACACTGTCCCCAGCCTGGGGGGCTCACCCTCAGACACTGGGGGTTCTCTTTCGGGCGGTGGAAGAATTCCACCCCCCGGAGAGACGGGGCCCACTTCCCCGTTAGAGCTTCGGCTCGTATGTGGTAAGGGATGGCGACCCGGAATTCAAACGCCCGGTGGCATGACACCGTTAGGAGAAGGGATTGCACGGCGCTTCGGCGCTTCCCTTCCCGTCATGCTCTGGTCTCGACAAGTATGTCGGGCCGGCGGCTCTCGACGCCCGGGTTTTTCCCTCCCCTCCGCAAGGGGGGGCCTGCTTGGGGGTTTTTACCAAGGGGATGGGATCGGCGGGGGCCGCAACGGAGGTGCCGCGCGTGACTACCCGAGGGGCTTTGCCCGGAGGGGGTCACGCCGGCGAAGGGGTCAGCATGGTCACCCGAGGGGCTTTGCCCGGAGGGTTGTCCCAAAAGGCTTTGCCCGGAGGGGTCCATGCTGATCGGCCACCGGGGCCCGCCTCGCGGGGCGGTTTACCGGTGGCAGGGAGGTGCCTCAGGGTTTCCCCTGAGGTAGGCCCACTCAGGCCGCTCGGACGTATTCCGAGGCGGGGCTGAGTCGGCGGGGAAGGCGCGCCGCAGTTACCCAAGGGGCTTTGCCCGGCGGGTGCTGCGGCCGCCTTGCCCCAGGGCCGCTCGGACGTTTCCGAGGCGGGGCCTGGGGCGAGAGTAGATACCTCCGGTCGGTCGGGACAGTTTCCTCTTCCGAACCGGCCGACCGGAGAGGCGCCTGCCCCTCTCTGAAAGCCTTCAGAGAGAGGCGCCCACATAATGCTGGTCGCCACGGCGTGTAGGGCAGGGCCGGGGAGCGGCGACCCTGTCCAAAGCGTCCGTGGGGCCCCTTGGGTGGCGCCGCCCGTCACGGTGCCCGCGCAGTCGGAGGCGTGGGACCCCTGAAAGCCCACGTAGGCGTCAAATCCCACGTGGGTGTGTAAGGGGCTCGGGGTCGGGCCGGGGTGCGGTATCCCCCCGGCCAATGACGTACGTCCCCTCCCCTTGGGAACTTGGGGCCCGGCCTTGAGGTGTGCGCGGTCACGTTTCGGGGCACCCCTTGGTCGGTGGGGGTATACCCTGGGGGACAGAAGCCGTGACGGGAGAGTGGGATCAATTAAATGGCTAAGACTCGTAGTACAAAAAACACAGAGAGGACGAGGAGGGAGGCAGTTGCCCTAACTAGGGAAAGGGAGGCAGACTCGGCAAGTGATAAGACCTCCGCTGGGAAAGGCCGCCGATAAGAACGCGCGTAAACCCGACGAAAGACCCCGGAAAACGTACGCGGCGGCCACAGCAAACAAGCCAAGAGAGGGGACGAGGGGGAGAAGAGAGACAAGAACACGGGAACCTAACACCCAGATCCCCACCCCCACCCCCACTCCCACCATTGCACCTTCTCCATCCTCGTCCTCCTCTTTGGCGAATAAAGCAGGCAGGGTCCAGAAGCCAGCGCCAAGGCCAAAACCAAAGGTCATCTTGGTAGAGGAGGTCAGCGCGGACCTGAGGACCCTAACGGTCTCCAAAAAGGAGACCATTGATTGGAAGGTGGTTGAGGCCAGAGGCAAGAAGAAGAAGAAGAGGAACACCGACAACACTCAGCCTCAACCAGCCAAAAAGGAGGGAAAGAAATCTGCCCCTTCTTCCTCTGCTCCTGCCCCCAAGAAGACTGCCACAGAAGGCAGGAAGACAACCGGGGCCAACAGGAGTAACGCCAAACCAAGCGATAAGGAGGAGAAGGGTCAAAGACCCAAATTCAACATTCGTCTCCACAAGAGGGCGGCAATCTTGATTAGTATGCCGTCCCAGAGTGGGGAGGAAATGGAGACGACCAATGAGAAGAGGGAGTCGTCGAAGAGATCTTTGGGCGAAGCAATGGCCGGAATTCAAAAGCAGATCCAGATCAAGGATTTCGATATTCCGGCCCTAAAGACCAAGAGGGCGGCCACAGGAGGGATCATTTATGAGGTGCCCGGAGAAGACAGCGCGGCGAGGGCCAGGAAGCTAGCCGATGCCCTTAAAAAAGTATAAGAGCCAAAGGGGATCAGGGTATCGATCCCCACTAAAAAGACGGACATGAGGGGCTCATGTCTCGAAGACTCCACGACTCCGGAGGATATAAGGGCATCGGTGGCAGACAAAGGAGGATGCCCAGCCGACGACATCAGGCTGGGCAAAATAACTAGGTCTTCCCGCGATGGATTGGGCACCTGCTGGATACAGGTGCTCTCCGCCGCGGCCAGCAAAATTATAAAGTCGGGACAGCTAGTCATCGGGTGGACGGCCGTCAAGATCGAAGCACTGGAAGCACGCCCGCTCCAGTGCTTCAAATGCATGGGAGTCGGCCACACACACGCCACTTGTAAGTCCCAAATAGACCGCAGCGGACTCTGCTATCGCTGCGGGCAAGGTGGCCACAAGGCAGGCGAGTGTGTGGAGAAGCTTTGCTGCCCGTATTGCAAGGATCACGGTCATAAACCAGACCACAGATACGGGGGCAAGGCTTGCCAGTATGCCACATCGGCGAAGAAAGGAGGAGCGCGAGGCAAGCAGAGACCAGCGGCGAAGAGCAACGAGGGAGGCAAGAAGATGCCGAAGAAGCCAGCTTCGACAGGAGCAAAAGTCAAGAGAGGTGGTCTCGAGGGGGAGAGCAAATCATCTTCAACATGAATGCTCTCCTCCTCCAGGCCAATTTAAACCACTCCGCCAGGGCACAAAACCTGCTTATGCAACACCTGGCGGAGTGGAATATTGATCTGGCAGTGGTAACGGAGCCCTATCGTGTCCTGCAAAGAGACAACTGGGCAGGAGACGATCAGGGCTCTGTCACCATAATTGGGAAATCTGAGATGGGAGCCCTCCCCTTTTCCCTAGTAGGAAAAGGCGAGGGCTATATTTTCGTTAAGTGGGGGGAAATTGTTGTGGGGGGGTGTACTTTTCTCCAAACAGGGACCGCGCCCAGTTTGAGATCTACCTGGATAGGTTGACGGCCGAAGTGCGCCGCCACCTTCCGGGGAGAGTTCTGGTCATGGGGGACCTTAACGCGAAATCTGACGCGTGGGGTTCCCCCGTGACCAATGCGAGGGGCGTGGTCCTGGAGGAATGGGGGGCTCAACTGGACCTTCTGGTGTTAAACAGTGGGTCCGAGTTCACATGCGTGCGGCACAACGGGGGATCCGTGATTGACGTCACTTGGGGATCCCCTCGAGCCGCGCGCATGGTGAATGGCTGGCGAGTCATGGTGGGGTCGGAGAGTCTATCTGATCATAGATACATTAGAATGCAAATCTCCGACCCCTTCGGTGGACGCCAGCCACCCTCCCAGGAGGAGGGGAGAGGTATACCCCTACCCCCAGATGGGCGCTTAGGCGCATGGACAAGGACGCCCTGATGGCGGCCGCCGTGGCAAAAGCGTGGGAGGATAGTCCCATGCTTGACGCTTGCGATCCTAATGAGGAGGCGGCCTGGTTCCGTTCGGCAATGGCAGAGATTTGTGACGCTGCCATGCCGAGGAGCCAGGCCAACAACAAGAGGAGGGGGTGTACTGGTGGTCTCAGGAGATCGCGTGGATGCGAGCCGTTTGCATCCGGACGAGACACCGGTACACCCGTCTTAGGCGCAGGCGTCATACCAACGAAGAGGCGGCCGAGCTGCTGGAGGACTACAAGTCGGCAAAGAAAACCCTCCAGCGGGCCATCAGGGAGGCCAAATCCCGGGCCTGGGACAAGCTCCTGGAGACCCTCAACAAGGATCCGTGGGGGAGGCCATACCGGATTGTAAGGAAGAAACTGCAGTCCGGGGGGCCTCCCACCACAGAGGGTCTCCCACCGGTATTATTAGAGGAGGTAATCACCACCCTCTTCCCCCAGATGAAGCGGTGGAAGAGGGTGGTGACAGACCCCGGGGTCCTACGATCCAAAATGATTGGAGCGAGGACCTCGGGGTCACAGGTAGAGAACTCGTCCGAGCAATTGGGCGGCTCCGAGAGAAGAACACCGCCCGGGGCCGGACGGAATTCCCGGGAAGGCCTGGGTTTTGGCCCTCAACGTCCTTAGGGGGAGAATGAGGCAGCTGTCAAACAGCTGCCTCAAGAAGGGCCAATTTCCGTCCATATGGAAGGACGCGAAATTGGTCCTTCTACAAAAGGAGGGGCGCCCCGCAGAATCCCCTGCGGCGTACCGCCCCATTTGCTTGTTGGATGAGGCGGACAGCTTTTCGAAAGAGTGATAGCTGCCCGCCTCAGAGAACACCTGTCCGAGGTGGGACCCGATCTCTCCGAATGTCAATACGGATTCCGAGAGGGCAGATCGACGATAGATGCTATTAAGCATGTCAAAGCCCTCTCGGATGAAGTTGTGGGGGGGGGGGGCGGTGTGTTGATCGCGACGAGCTTGGACATCTCGAACGCGTTCAACACGCTGCCTTGGAGACATATACGCGAGGCACTCCAATACCACGGGGTGCCTCGCTACTTACAGGAGGTGATCGGGACTACCTTAAGGACAGGTGGATCTCGTACACGGGGCGGTACCAAGTGCCGCACAAGAAGAAAATTAATAGGGTGGTTCCACAGGGGTCGGTCCTGGGACCGCTCCTGTGGAACATCGGGTATGACTGGGTTCTGCGGGGCGCACTTCTCCCGGGCGTGCACCTTGTGTGTTATGCCGACGACACACTGGTGCTTGCCGGGGGAAGGATTGGGGGGAAGCTCGACGCTTATCGGCAGTGGGCGTCGAGCTTGTTATAGGCAAGATCCGCGCCTTGGGACTGAGCGTGGCCCTCCAGAAGACCGAGTGTATTCACTTTAACGGTCCTAGGGGGGGGCCACCTCAGTCCTACATCGAGATAGAGGGAGTTCGGGTGGAGGTGAAGCCCCATATTAAATACTTGGGGCTCACCCTCGACAGTCGCTGGGGCTGGGTGGAACATTTCCGTCGCCTTGCCCCCCGAGTAAGGGCGGCAGTCAACTCGATTGGCTGCTTGCTGCCCAACATCGGGGGGCCCAAGGAAAAGATACGCCGCCTCTACATGGGGGCGGTCGGATCCATGGCGCTCTACGGAGCGCCAGTGTGGGCGGGCGGCCTGAGGGCGCAAAGTCAGAAGCTTCTGCTGAGTTTACAGCGGAAGCTAGCCATCAGGCTCGTCCGCGGATACCGGACGCTCCATTGGAGGCGGCTTTGGCGGTGTCAGGGTCCATTCCCTGGGACCTGCTGGCGGGGGCGTACAAACAAATGTACGATCGAAAGGATGACCTCCGCGGCGGGGTCGCATCATGACACCGAAGGCGATGGAGGCGGCCCGCCGTCTGACTAAACACCAGGCGGTGGAGAAATGGTCGGAGGCTCTCCTCCGACCAAGAGCCGGACTGCGGGCCGTCCAGGCCATCCAGCCAGTACTTCAGGAGTGGCTGTCGAGAAAGCCCGGACTCTCATATAGAGTCGTGCAGGTGCTCACCGGGCACGGTGCTTCGGAGAGTACCTGCACGACAAGGCGCGGAGGGAGCCATCGCGGAGATGCCACCACTGTACGGAGGTCAGGGACACGGCGCAACACACGGTCGAACATTGCCCAGCTGGGCAGACCAGCGCCGTGCCCTGACCAACGTCATCGGGGGGGACCTTGGGCTCCCAGCATGGTCAAGGCCATGCGAAAGCCCACTAAATGGGAGGCGGTCGCCTCCTTCTGTGAGGACGTCCTCACGCGGAAGGAGGCGGCCGGCCGAAAGAGAGAGAGAGGCCGACCCTGATGCGCCCCAATGCGGCGCAAGAGGGTCGGCCTACGAGGGAGAAGGTTTGCCGCCCAGGTGGCGAGAGATTGAGGAGATCGAGGAGGAGGCGGGATAGGGGAGAGGGGAACTTGCTCTGGGCACC